CGTAAATGTTTTGTCAAAACTTCTTCGTAAATGTTTTGTCAAGACTTCTTCGTAAATGTTTTGTCAAGACTTCTTCGTAATGAGCGTAAATGACCAAAAAATAATGTTTATGTTAGAATGTTAGATCTAACATGTTTTCTAACCTCTTTTCTAACATCGTAGAAAACACACAAAACTCATGAAATTTCATACGGAATTCAGTAAAAATATATTTTATGTTAGAATGTTAGATCTAACATGTTTTCTAACCTCATTTCTACCCCAGTTATTTTATAAGCGTTTTACATGGTAAACATTGTGAATTCGTGAAATTCTAAACAGTTTTGTAGCTTCTATTTCTTCACGAAGGATATCGAATGTTTTAACAATGCCGAAAGTTTCTTTATACTTCTTCTTGACATCTGAAAGAAGGAAATCGTCAGCTGTTGGATAGTTTTTGTTTAGAAATGTCAACATGTCCATTTTATCTTCTGCTGGTTTCTCTGCTTCTTTCTTTAAATCTGCATAGTCGTTTCTCATTCTTTCTATCTCTTTGACGGAGTAGTTATATTTCCTCATTGCTGCTTTACATTTTGAACATTGCGGGTTCATTTTTGCGTTATATTCTGAAACCTTACCTGCTAGTATGACTAAGGCGTCAATTGCTCTCTTTAACTCAAAAGTTGCGGGTTTTATCTGTTCATTCCATATCTTACCTCTTCTATCTTTATCTCTTATCTGCCAAACACATTTTGCAACTAACGAAACAAAGTTGTCGTAGGTCTTAAACTCCCCAGATTTGTATATGTCAGAGATGTTCTTATATACCATATCGCAATCTTTGTCCATGACTTTGTGGTTGCAATGAAATCCAAGAAACTCATAGTTAACCTTTCGTATGAACTTCTTTATTTCTACTGAGTCAGTCAGTCCGACTTCTATTTCATCGAATTCTGGAATAGTAAGCTTTTGTTGTTGGATTTCAGGTAGTTTAGGCAAATGGTCAATAATATCCTGCATTTCATAAAGATATTCTTCATCTGTTTCATCTTTTGCAGTGCAATCTAAATCTCCTTGGAGAAGTTCTTGCTTTATCTTCTGGATTTCTGTTTCGAAAGTATATGAAGAAGGAATGAAGCTTTTCATCTCTACTAACATTGACGTAGGATTCATGACTAACGAGTTTGGTGCTGTTGTTGCTAACATGTTCTTACAATAAAAATAAAAAATATTTTTTTTAAAAAACTAACTTTATTTTTTATGTTTTTTGTGAAAGTGTCAAAATTCATGAATTTCGAGAGTTTTCTACGATGTTAGAAAAGAGGTTAGAAAAGAGGTTAGATCTAACATTCTAACATAAACATTATTTTTGGGTCTTTTACGCTCATTACGAAGAAGTCTTGACAAAACATTTACGATGAAGTCTTGACAAAACATTTACGAAGAAGTCTTGACAAAACATTTACGATGAAGTCTTGACAAAACATTTACGATGAAGTCTTGACAAAACATTTACGAAGAAGTCTTGACAAAACATTTACGATGAAGTCTTGACAAATTCAAGAGTTTTAGACCATGTTAGAAAACATGTTAGAAAACATGTTAGATCTAACATTCTAACATAAACATTATTTTTGCTGAATTCTGTATAAAACTCATGAGTTTTCTACGATGTTAGAAAAGAGGTTAGAAAAGAGGTTAGATCTAACCTTCTACCCTAAATTATATTTTTGTCGAAAAAAATGGTTCATTTACTCACAATATTTTTGTACAAAACGACCCCAAACTTTTAACTTCTTTTCTGCAGCTTCAAATGCTATCTTAGCGAGTTCATATTCTCTAAATTCTCTCTTTAAATCTTCTTGTTCCCATTGGTCTAGTTCGTATGGCGAGTCTCTATAACCAGAACATATCTCACGTTCATGTTCTATTTGTTTTTCATGCATTTTTCTAACTTCTTGTTCGAACAAAGGTTTAGCATTCTCTACTGTATCTTCAAGTTCTTCTTCATCTAATTTCTCATGAACTTTCTTGTCTATGGAGTCCATAATTTTTCCAACTGCTATACAATATTTTGGAGAAGCCCACATTGCTATATAGTTTACAAGTCTTGGGTCTACATACGTTCCTCTAACCTGTTTGATTTCATCAGGAATTCCTGCATGAATTTTGTATAAAAACCAACCGCCGGAATTCCGGCGGTTGCTATATTCTTCACAAAATGCCTTATAATACTCTTCCCAGGACTTATTTTCCAACAACTTTCTAAAGTCTTTCCTAAACTGCTGACACATATTTGTTACATTTATATAACCATCCTTGTCTCTACGTAAGACTTCAATACCGTTGTAAGTGCCTTTTGTGAATGTTTCGCCATTAGATTTGTTCGTGAACGTTTTTGCTTCGACTGTCATACTGTTCTTACAATAAAAATAAAAAATATTTTTGGCTTAACCGTCGGACATTCGTTTGTGGCTTAACCGTCGGACCACAACGATAAAAATCTCGACAAAACATATACGATGAAGAAGTCTTGACAAAACATTGACGATGAAGTTTGACAAAACATTTACGATGAAATCTATTTCCTGTGTTGTTGTCAAAATGTCATGTTGTCACCATTTTCAAAAAGATGTTAGTTGACCGAGTGACCTGGTGACACCTAAAATATATTTTTTTTTATCTTAAGGAAATTCATGACAAATTCAACGGGTGAACTTTGTATAAAAAGCAACCCGCTGTTTTCCGCGGGTTGGTATATTCTTCACAAAATGCTTGTTTTGAGGTCGAGCCACTTTTGGCTCCACCGTATTTTTTCAACCAAAACTCATTTTTGTCGAATTCAGCACTTTTCCGTAGTTGTATATGAAAGACAATTCGGGATGAAATTTCTTCATCTGAAATAGTCCTACCAGTATTTGTAAAGATATAGTCTAACGGTTTTGTATCTGCTACTTTTGTTCTTTGTTTTTCAACCTGAAGCATTTAATATATGTAAAAATATACTGTTTTAAAATGGTATGCCATATAGCTTCTTGAATTTGTTAAGAAGTATTTGAACGTATTTTCCATCTGTATCTCTAGCGTTTACATAAGCATAGCCTGCCTTAGTAAAATATACTTGTAATTTCCTATAGTTTACGCCGGTATAAAAGTAGAAAGAGTCTTGTTCTTCGCTATAGTAGTAAAACTCAAACGTATGCTTACCATAGTCTGTAATTTCAATTGCTTCATCTTCTAGTTCGTCGACAAATTCGAATACAATATCTCTAAATTTGCCTCTGTTCTTACTGTTTTCAGAACAAGTGACCCAACGCAAGTTTTCAAGTCTATTGTCGTTTCTTATACGGTTTATATGGTCTACAAAAGGTAGATTGTTAGGGTTCGGTATAAAATGAGTTGCAATGACAATATGTTTAAAATAGTTTTTTCCACCAATCCTCATCCTAGCATATCCGTCATTTCGCTCACATTCGCTTAAAACTCTTTTTGTCTTTTTGTTTCTGACTTCAAATGACTCACAACAGTGAATTTCATATTTCTCATCTAACAAACAAGTTTCCCAACGGTCTGTTCCAACAAACTCAGCGTACATTTCAAATAAAATAAAAAAATGTTTTTTTAAAAAAATGTTTTATTTCATGCAATGTTTTATTTCTGTGCCGTCTTCAAGTATACCCCAATATTTCCTTTTCGATATTACATGAACTTCGGAAAATACCTTGTCTAGCTTAAAACAGCCCATCTTTTCACCGACTAAACCCATTTCAATGAGTTTGTTATAGCCTTCTTCGTTCGTCATGAGTGCGTCAATGTTCTCATAGTAAACCACAACTTTCGATTTGACTTCGGAGAAGAATTTGTTGTAGTTGTCAAGGACTGCCTTTGCGAACTGAGGATAGGACCAATGTTCGACAATAGGTTTTAATGTGGTTACTAAGCCACTTTGACCTTGAGTGAATTCGTACTTCAAAACAAAAGGAGAAAACCTTTCAACAAAGTTGTCGACCTTCTCATAATGTTTACTCTTCATCTCTTGAGGTTTCTTAATAGAATATCCCCATGTCGAATTCATAAGCAATTTGAGTGTCATTGCAAGTTTGGGGTTTGAAGCTTTCCTAATATCATAGAGTTGTTGTATGACCTTTCCAACTGTATAGTTCCTTCCCGGGAACTTACCATCTTCGTTTGGAATTCCAGTCGGGATATATTGGACAAACCTCATGTATGCAGCGTTAAGGTCGACATAGTATATCTTTTCATCTGAGTCGAACTTGTCGCATCCAATCGGACCAGTTCGTGGAAATTCAAGTGAGTCTCTTATCTTCTGAGAAACTTCTCCTGTTATCTCATAAACATCGTCGAAGCAACCTGTTTCATATAAAACCTTCTGAGCTAACTCTGATGCTCTCCAATACAATTTGACGTCAATTGGATGTCTCAATGGAAGTTTGTTTATAGCATCTTGAAGTTCTTGCAACCTCATTGGAAGTTCTTTTGGTTCAGGTTGGTATCCGAACAATCCAACTCCTTGTGGAATTGTGTACTTCTTTTGTACTAGAACTTTGTCTGGAACAACTTTTGGTCTTGCTAACAGTGAAAAGTTTGTTTCGTCTTTTGGTACAAAAGTTTCTGTCAGCTTGTCATCTGGAATTGGTTCCAACAAACCTTTCTCGAAAAGAATGTTTACAGCTCTGACAATGTTGCACTTGCCTTTTCCGAACATAAGACTTTCGTTCAACATGAAGTGGTTGTGGACAATTGCAATCTTCAACCATGGTAAGTCTTTGTCAACAACATAGTCGTCATGTGAAGAACCTTTAGCTGTAGGTATGTTGACTCGGATATTGACATTTGCCAACGGTGCAATTTTGCCAATTGACCTCTGAGAATGTACCTTGTCTTCACACATGACTCAAGATACTTCATCTTCTCTTCTGAAAACAAGACCAGAGTTCCTGAGACATGTAAGAATACAAGGTTCATTGACAATTGTTTCAATTGAATTGTAAATTCCATACCTTGTCAAGTCAATGTCAGACTTATTTATGAAGGGGAAGTATCCAGCATGTTGTCTGACTGCTTGAGGGTTAGGTTGGTACCATTCGAACTTGACACTTGCAATTCCTTCAATTGCATTCAAAATGTCTGAGTCGGAGTCAACCATTTGTTCTCTCTTTGTAGTCTTGAAAGCGTCAAGAAGCATTGCAGCTGTTGTGACATTGCCATGTGCATAGTAAATGTGACCATCCAAATCTGTTATGGTCAATCTGAGATTGTATCCTTTCTTATTTCCATCTTGTATGGCAGCAAGTACACCCATGAAGCCTTCTTTGTTCTTTCCTTCGTCAAAGTTTACTGTAAAGGTTCGACCAGATGTAATTTGACTTCTAACTTCACGGTACTTTTCATATGCATATCTTGTTCTTTCCATGGGAGCATGTTTGTCTTCACCTTTTCCTTTTTTCCTTCTCAAAGGATGCAATTGTTCGTCATGTTTCCAGTAGAATCTGGCAAAGCCGTCGTGTCCTTCAACTTGAGGTTCACTAACATCGAAAGGCATGTCCATAAGACGTTCTTCTTCTAACCTCTCTAGTCTGTTTGGATAATTTGCACGTGCTGTTTCCAAATCCATTTCGTAGCGAAGACCAGCCAGTTTGTCATAGACTTTTATGGGTCTTCCTTTCTTATATTTAAACTTCTTCGAAACTCTCCAACCATATCTTTGCAACTCTGCTTTTATTCTAGCAGATTTTCTATCCATTCTATATGGGGGCATTTTTATAAAAATAAAAAAATGTTTTTTTCTTTACTTAACATAACCGCCCGCTACCAGAAGTCTTTGACGCCAACCCATACCAGCTAATGAAGGTTGAGTTGGTTTAGTTTGGAAACTAAACTTTGGTTTTGGTTTATCTTCAGTTTTTGGTTTTTCTTCTTCTATCGGTTTTTCGTCACTTTTCGGTTCCTCTGACTTTACCTCACTTGCAGGTATGGTTGTGTCGTCAACATCTTCATAAATATCATATGCCATTTGTTTTTGTTTTCCTTTCAACTTTTTGTGTTTGTTGTAAAGTTTAGAATATTTCGACTCTAAGTCAATGAGATGTTCTATAATGAACTGTTGGTCAGTGAAGTAAACTTTTCCATCTGTTGTCTCGAAAGCTCCTTCAGACTTCAATATTTTATTTGTGAGAGTCTGTTTCTTTTTTGAGATACTTGCCGTTCCATTTCTATGAAAAGTGACTTTGTAGTTAGGGTTTGTATTTCCAGACCTGGCACTTTCTATTATTGAATTTTTCTCTTCATCTGTAAGTTCTTTGACAGGTTTTGACAATGGTTCTGAACTTTTTGTTTGTGTGTCAAATCTACCGTTTCAACTTCTCGGTCATTTCATCTCAGTAAAAAATTTTAGTTTGGTTTGTTTTCAACTGGTTGTTGTTGTTTTTTAAGTCGGTCTAAAACTTCCTGAGGTATAGGGAGGACTTGACAAACACGTTGTGTAACTGCTGGAAGTCGACAAATCCATCTTGAACCCATTTGTCTCAATGCTGTATTGTTCATTTCATCTCAGTAAAAAACTTTACATTCCCCACGTTTGAGGCGGTTGCGGTTGGTTGTTGTTTACCCACTGTTGTGCATGGTTATATCCTCTGTTAAAGAATCTTTCACCTTGGTCATATAGTGCCCTGCTTGGTTATAGTAGTCATTTGCTTTGTTATAGTAGTTTCCTGCTTGTCTTCCTACATTGTCCATCCATCCTTGAACTTTTCCTTCTTGTTTCAGGATTTGGAATAAGATTTGTTGCATCTCGTGCTACATCCCAACCTTTCTGTACAGTTTGTATAATAGGTTGTGCTTTCTTAAGTATACCTAATGTACTCAAAATCTTCCTTCCAATTCAAATGCACCTCTGGCTATTGTTCCCACTGCGGGTAAAAATCTAGATGCAACTCCTGCTAATGCGCCAAATAACCCATTTCTTATGGGTTAAAAAATGACGAATCCAAACAAGGACCCTATGTTTCTAAAGCGACAAAGAAAGCACTCATGGTAAAATCTTTAGTTCAACACCAAATGCTTGGTTTATGGATATCTTGGAAAACATTCCGAGGTATAGAGAAGACGGACCACCATACTGGCTAATATTTGTTGGTCAAAACACAAGATACTGTGAAGCCATACCATTATGGTCCAAAATATTTAGATGTGAAAACTGCTTTGGACAATATTCGTTGACAAATACCATCCAACAAAACTGACATCTGACTGTGAAAGTTCTTTCAAATCAGACGATATTAAAAACTATCTGCGTTTCAAAAAATGTAAACCATATTTCATTGTCGACCAAAACCATTCTGCTCTTGGTGTCATTGACAGTTGTATAAAAATCTTAAGAGACTTAAACCAACCACAAGGTGGTGAGGTAGATGAAATGTCATATGACACAAATACAGACACTTCTCCATGGCAAAGATGAGACAAGTTTTAAATATTTACAATAGCCGTAAACAAAAAGGTTTGGGGAAACCACTCCCCCGAAGAAATGAAAAACAACCCCGACTTAGAGAAAGACTATATATTTAATAGTTTAGTCAAAAGAGACAAACAAGAAAGAATGCCAGGCTTCAACTTAAAGGGGTGACAAAGTAAAAATAGAAATACCTAAACGCGACCCATATGAAAATACTATTGACTATGACAACAATGGGAACTCGACAGGTACTCACCTTCGTGTTCGTAAAAATAGAAGAAAGTATACAAGAGAATATTATGAAGTTTTAGGCAAACATGGCAAAATGTACAGACTGCAAGCAGAAGATAAAAAAACTATTGTCAGACCTCGTTTTCAAACTTGTCAAAGTTCAAGGTGGTATACTTTCAAAGACAGTTCCTAACACAAATATAAGACAACTCCTGACGAATATGCTAAAGAAGTTGAAAATGACGACTAAGCATTTCTATACCATGCGTAAACTGTCATGTAAGGTGGCATGTAGTCTTTACTCTGCCCGTTGTTTGCGTATACCCTGAAACGCGATGTGTATGGTTTCCTTCTCCCTGAGTGTCACTCCAATAACAATTTATAGCAAACTTAACGTTGTCTTTAACATCATATCCTTTACCTTTTGTCATTCCTGACCAATCCCAATATCTATGCTTATGCCAACCTGCTTGAGATGTACTTAAATCTATGTAGTGACTGTGTGCAGGTAAGTTTTCACCTGAAATCGTTTTACTTCCACCTGTTTCCTTTGAAGAGTTTGCACAATACAAAAACCTGTCGACTATTTGAGTCCAAGTTCCAAAACCCAGAACTGTTTCTGGTCTGGTAGAGTTCATTGACGTATAAATAGAGCCTATAGGATATAATGTTTGAAGCATTTCTGTCTTTAATGTTTGAAGCTCTGTTTTGTCTGCTTTTTTATATAACTTTTCTTCAAGTTCATTTACGTCAGAGATGCTATGTCTATGATATTTTTGTGGGTATGTTCCTTCTGTCCATGCTAAAATACGTTCTTTTGTTGCATCTACATATCCAGCTATTCCATGTCGAGTCTGCTTTTGTATTCCTTAACTCTGTAACACCTTTCTCAAGCTCTTTCAACTGTTGTCCATCTTCCATTAACCTCTGGTATGACTTGAAACCGTTTGTGCCAACATATCTACAGTTTCTTTGTCGGCTTTAAGTCTAAACATCCTGAAACCCACCCTGTATTGGCTTTACCTTCTAAAATCTTCGATGTCCGTTCATGGTACCATTCAACCCTTTTTATAATTTCATTGTCTTTTTCATCCACATATTCCTTATCTGCCTTCTTCACTAACGCACTAGCCACACGTGCTAACTCATCGTCTACATATTCTTTGTCAGCTTTGTTGTCAACATCTGCTTTCAAAAGAAGTTCATTTATAGGTTTCTCGTTTAAAGTTCGTTTTGTTGGATTTATACAAACAGTATGGTTCTTATTGTCTTGAAACAGAAACTCATCTGTCATTGGGTTTAATGTCAGTTTTAGGTTTCCTTCTTTCAATGACTCAGATATCTTAGAATAGTTTGAAAAGTTTGTTGTGTTCTTATTTAGAGCTTGCATAATGAGTTGTCGGTTGTGTTGTATTTCTCTCATAGACGCTGTTTCATTTGACATTTTTATTTAGATAAAATATGCTTCCAATAGAAAAAGAAAATTCAAGAGTTGCTACAACTAAACCATTAGATGAACTTTTTACTAATGTCGGTCAAAAGTTTGAGACAGAGACCGTAAAGCATGAAGGCTATCGTTTTGACTACCCATTAAGATGGTTAAGAGACCCATCTGTCCAAAAGCTATTGGCTTTCGTAGAATGAAGTTTGTGTCTGTAGAAGATAAAAGTTTTCCATTTATTGTAAGTTTCATATAGATTATATATCTGAAGGAAACGAAAAATGTGGAAGAAATTGAGCTAATACAAGTTGACCTTTCATCTTCTCTACAGACTGCGTTAAAAAATATAGAAGATAAAATAAATTCATGTTATGCAAAATATGCTGATGAATATGCAAATACCGAGAGCACACTTTATGTGAGAATTGTATATGACAAACAAAATTCACAAGTGTCATTTCAAATCTACGAAGACAATCCAAAGAAAGACGAACAAATATATACAGAATTAGTTAGTATGGTTAAGTTGGGTACTGTGGCACTGCGCGCCTCCGTACACCACTTAACCTTAAATATTTACAAAACAGTTAACGTATATTTTACAACATGAACGCAAAAACTAACTTAATCTTAAATATTTACAAAACCGCCACCCACTTCACTAACGAACTCACTAATGTAAAAAATAAACGTTCTCACTATCATTCTCACTAACACTTCACTAATGTTCTCATAAATTTTCCTCAATATCTTCATCATCAGTGTTAACCCTATTGTAGTCATACTTGAAGCCATAAACTTTCTCTAACTTCTTAACGTACAATTTACATAACTTACCTTCGTCATCGTATGGTTTAATGATATAACTATTTCTATCTTTATACACAGTCAATGAAAAGTCAACTGGTCTCGGATGTATTTGAAAGAACATGTTATGCTCAGGAAGGAAGAATAAATGTTTAAATGTATGTTTGTTATACTGTGGAATTCGAATGAGTTGCTTTTGTTCTGTCATTTACATCCAAATAAAAATTTTCAGTAAAAATAAACTTAAAAATAAATGATATCACCACCCTCACACGTATGAAAACATAGCGCAAAAATAAATTTAGGTGAAGTGGTGAAATCTCACCTCTTTTTTCACCTAGCCGCTTTGCGGCTCTGACCCTTTGGGTCTCTTTTTTCACCCGTTGAATTCATTGCTTTATAACTCTCTGTCGTCTGCTTTCTCCAACTCTTCTAACTTCTTCTTAAGTTCAGCAATGTTGTCCTCATGAAGTTTAATCTTCCTTAATATACCTTCTTTATCTAATGGTTGCTTTATCTTTCTAAACTGAACTCTACCATCCTTCATAGTATGAACGTAAAAACCTTCTGGATAGTTCCTGATTTAATGTATTCTACCAAAAATTTTTGTTTCATTGCTTCAGTGACTTTAGTCGTCATTTCAATCAAATAAAAATTTAATATTAAATAAAAATAACGTTATTTTTTCAGTAAGGAAACGCAGGAGTTTTACGATTTATTTGAGGAGTAGGTTCTGGTTTAAATGTTGGAGTCGGTTTTGAGTTGACTTTTGAACAGGAGTTTGTACTTCCATAGGTTCAGGAGTCATTGAAGGTGTTGTTTGTGAAGGCGTTGGTTTTGGCGAATGTGTTGGAGTTTGTTTAACTTCAGCTACTTCAGTATTATTTATAACATTTGCTTTATTTCTTTTCAACATCATAACTGCTCCTGCTGTAGCTAGCAAACCTAGTGGGAGACCATATCTTATATAAGGACTTGACCAAATGCTATTTTTGACAGGAGCTGGTGGAACACCTAACCTTGGTGAAACTGCTCTTTGCCATTGTGCAGCTCGTAAGAAATATTCAATAGGTGCTCCATAATCGTTTGGTAAAGTTTGTTTCATAGATGGTGAAGGTTCACGAGAGCTTGATGAAGAACTCATTTATAAGCTTTAAAAATAAACGTTCATCCTTTATTCCTCACTGTCGTCCGTGGCTAAGTTATAGTCATCTAATCTTATTATTGGGATTCCATTAGCACGCACCTGAATGGCAAAGCAACAATCCCTCATAAATCCAATAAGTGGCTTTGGTACGTTTTCAGTTGCTAGTTCAATAGGTCCTTTAACAGACAATTTGTATGTTATTGGAGCAGTAGATGTTTGACCTTGCTGGAAGCAAAAGTCCACTTCTGTTGGAAAACCACATAAGAAATGTGTGTTGTCATAGCTATCCCATTTATGTTCCACACTACCATCATCCACCAATGACCTCATAACATCTTCATTAAATCCAATCATATCATTGTTTGTATTGCAAGCGTTCGCAACCATTTCATAAAATACAGGTCCATATGATTTTTCAGGTTCTGCAGGCATATTTCCATAAGCTCCCATGGAAAGCTGAAGATATTTAAACTTAGGGTTCTCAAAATTAACATAATAGTTGTCTTTCTTTCTAAATAGTGCCCAAATACTTTTAACATTAATAGGCGTATAAGCTGCTGTAAATGTTGCACTTGAACTATCTGTATTCTTTGAGAATGAACCGTCCATAGGAATCCAATCCATAACTTTAACAGGAAAACATAAAGCCTCGTTTGTATAATGTTCTACAAGTTCTGTATAAATGTTAGGGTCTAAAGAGAATGACTTTGGATGAATGAAACATTCATTAAAATCCATCTTTGTTCGAAATAGTTGCTGGTTTACAGTTGTAATAGTAACTGTTCCACTAGCTTCTACTGCCTTCGTTATCATAGTGAATGGTTCATTCCATGGAACAAATTTATTTGTCGGTGGATTTGAATCTGAAGCAAATGCAACTTTAAGAGTTGGATTGAAAGCAATGATATCATTTACAGATATAGATGTGCATTGTAAGGCGTCGCTACTGAACTTTACTTTAAGCTGAATGTTTCCTGCAAAAGCTGGAATAAATCGAATAGCTTCTAATGGAAGGAATCTTCTAACAGGAATTCTTAAACGAAGCTTAAAATCAAATGATTTTCCTGCTGTAATTGGACCACTAACAATTTGTCCTGTTCTGCATGTTCCCGAATGACTCCATACATCTTCATGTCGAGTCTTTGAGAAAACATCTACTTTCTTTATTTGTTCGGTAGTTTGTGAGTTTGAAGTTATATATGCTTCTTCTCTTGCGTTGTCTTGAGAATATACGATACGACCATTTGCAAGGATTTGATATCCAGCAACTGCATAGAAAGCGTCATCGAAACCAATCCAAAATCCTGGTGGGTTTGTTTTATTGGAACCTGAACCAATTTCTTTATCTACAATAAATTGACCTTCCATTTTATACGTAATGAATGTATTGTAAAGGTCCAACATATTTTCACCAGGAGGTGAGAGATTGAATGTTACCCATGTGTTATCTTTAGCAGTTCCAGGTTGTGATGGAATCTTTGCGTCAGAATATTTTCTATTAGTGTCACCAATTTGAACTGCATTGTCTATGATATCGAAATATGAGCGAATCTGATGAATATGCTCTGCTGGAGTAAATTCGTTTAGCTGTTCGTTCTGCATGTATTTACTTCAGATAAAAATATCTATTTACTTCATTATTCTCACTCTTCTTCTTGGCATTCGTGGTGGAAGTTGTTTCTTGACATTTTCAATGAACTGTACATTCTCTTTTGTCTCAACTTCTTTCACTGGCGGGTCAGGGTTCTTTGACTCGGTTTGCTTTTCAATGAAATTCACGAACTTTGCAATAAGCTCTTGGTTCGTTATTGAAAGAACATCTGGCTTCTTTTCTTCTTGTTCTATTGACTTTTCAGTTTGAACAGAAGGTTTTATATGGGCTTCGTGGCTTCACCCTTGCCATGCACCTTAATGTTGTCGCTCTCTGCATTCGCTAATGGAACCTTTCTTTTTCTTTATATATTTTACCATCTTTACTCTGACTTACGTAATAGAAAGGATGTTGTATTCCTCTGGCGTCATTTAATATAATAGACTCTCGCTCTGATTTTGACAAGCTCATTTTACATCGGTTAAAGTTTTAATTTTGTTTTTTATCTGCAAGTCAAATGACTCAGACAAGTCCTACGGACAAGACCCAAGGTCATAGATGTTGAAGCATTGAAGAAAGAAATTCGTGAGCAAATTTTATCCGAACTGAAGGAACAAAAACAAGAACAAAAGCCAGAGAGACCAAAGAGAAAACTTAGTGAAAAACAACTAGCTGCATTAGCTGCTGGAAGACAAAGAACCCACGTTTGCTGGCGAAAGCTAGAGAAGAAGCAAAAGCTAAAGAAGCTGAAGCAAAGAAAGAGTAAATGGTTTATTTTTATCCGAACTAAATGTATAGACAAATACCTTTATCTGTTGCGTTCAGTAGTGAAAACCCTGACGTCAAAATAAAGGGGAACAGAGTAACGTTTAAGTTTCCAACAGACTGGATTGTGAACATAAATGAAGAGAAGTACATTGGCATAACATCTATGTATATAACACGTGCTTTCAGAAAGGTTGACTTTATACTTCAAGTCGAGATAGAAAATGACGAACAGTCTTTAAGCGCCCAAAACATTCACATATACAAATACTTTAAAGACGATACAACATTGTTGCAATGTATGATTTCATTTAATGAGATGTTCGAGAAAAAGTTCAACATTGAAGTACAAACTTTACAGCCTTTACGTGAGTTTCTTGCACAACTGAAGGAAGAAGGTAGTCAGCCACAACTTATAGACTTTCATTATGAATTTAATGAAAATGAAGATGGAACTCATGACTGTCAATTCATTGTATTCTCACCATTCAATGAAGTCGCTAAAAAGAAAGAAAATCCATTACGTATAAGATTTCAAATCTCCGAACCAAGTGATGATTTTAAGAATGTTTTCAATTATGATGCAATGCTTCCGAGGAAAAATGAATTTTCAAAGATTGTAACACCTGGCATTTGGGATAGAAAGCAAGCAATACTTTACTCTAATATAGCCAAAGGCGTTGAAAATGAGTTCATTGGTCATACAAGAACTTCACCACTTCCTAACCCTAAATACTATAAATTAACTGGCTTCAATCGTGAGTTTTGGATAGACATGTTCTCCACTCATGACCATAAATGTCCAGTGTTCTTGCCTCCAGATGGGAAGGACTGTCTCTACATTGAAGCACAACTCTTAAACTCTACCATCGCAGTATTGTAAAATCTACGCTAGCTTTATTTTTATCACGAATGACCTCATTCATGACCTCATTCATGACCTCATTGCTGACAAAAATAAGCCGCTAGCGGCAAGGGCGAAGCCCATGACCTCAGAACTTCAACTTACGAATAAAGCTTGTTTTAGTCGTTATTGAAAAGTTGAACTTTTCAGCAAAGCAAGGTTGACATGACTTACATAAGTCGAATGCAATCTCTTGACCATCATAAAGTGCTTTGTAAAGTTTCATTAAACTGAACTCAGAGTCTTTGTCATATGTTCCAACAGGTATGTGAATGTTCTTATCTTCATTGTAATAGCATTGTATAGCTTCAGGAAACATTTCATTAGCGGTTAAAGCAATAACATCTTGCTTCACGCCTTTCATTCTGCAGTGAAATGCAACTTCATTTAAATCGTTAGTGAGTAAGTCTATGTAGGTCTTCTTTCCACAGAAAATACTTTTATAAGCTAAACTTTGTTTTTGTTATTTCTGCAAAGTCGCTATGAAATTGACCAAGGTTCTTTCCTATAAGTTCGCGACCATATCTCTTCTTAAACTCTGCTGCAAGCTTTGGTATGTCTTCATTATATAAGTGCATACTGTCGGTATCCTGGTAAAAATATTTGAAGACCCATATCTCAGCAGTACAGAATACTTCATTCATAATACGTTTTGACATAGACAGAATATTAACACCAAGTGGACAGAAGTTAAAGTGTCTGCAAATGCTTTTCGTTAGCTTGAAAATAGTTTTATCTGAACCATCCAAACCTTCGAACTTCACTATATGGTTGTAATTTCTTATAGCATATCTTATAGCATCTTTGTCATTTACTATGGTTATTTTTGACTCAATAGGAGATAGAATAGTTTTGCCATAAATGCTGTTCAGAATGAGTTTTATAATTTCTTGTAAGGGGTTTCCTTCTTTCTTATACTTTAACCTTAACTCAAACAACTTCTTTACTTCATCTCTTATTCTCATATCTCTGTTTCCATCGTAATAGTATCCTTGCAACACTTCACATTTGACATTGATATTTTATGAGGTCTTGTAATGTTATATGGTCAACATACATGAGACAGCAAGTGTTTGAACTTCTTGGAACGTTAAGTTCTGGATTTAGTTCAGGTCGCAAACTATTAAATGAAAGTGTCTGGGTATACCAATCTCTGTTATCTTAATGAGAACAAAGAAGCCAGACATAAACTTTTCACCAATGGGTTCCTTTTGGTCGTCATCGAATAAATGTCTCATGAGATACTCTGTGCTTAACATTTCTTCCTTCAATACTTTTGGAATTCCTTCTAAAGTATAAAGTCTTGCTATAGCTGAAGGATATAATGAAATAGTGTCTAAGTCAGCAATGAGTTTCTTTTTGCTCTTTTGTTTCATGTTATCTGACAACATACATCTTCCACCTTGAATGCATCTCGAAATAAATTCTCTTGGTTTATTTGAGAGGTCATAAAGATTTCCATTCGGGAAGTATACTCTGTTCTCAAACAATTTGTTAGCAATAGAACAAATACTAACGTAGTCATAAACGTTTAAATCAAACTCTTTCAATAAGTCATTGCGGAACTTTACAAAACCTTCTCTTAAAATTCTTACATCTTGTTTGCAGTAAAACGTGCTATATTTTTCTAAGTCGAAGTGGTTTTCATCTATTCTGCAACCTTTGATGGAATCTATGTTTTTCATAAATGTATCTGCATCATGGATAAACTTACATGCTTCAGAAATGACACCAGTTCTGTTGTCATTTGCTAACAAAACACTGCTGTAGTAGTTATATGGAAATACTTCTTTCGGTCCTGTTTGTAAGTTAAACATAGCAGGAAATAGTTTAAGCTTCTTATTTATAACACTGTAAGAGTCTTTTATAATAATTGCCCGTCCTTTATATAAACCAGTTATTTGCATTGTTCGTGAACCTTTAATGATGGGAGTTCCTTTCACTTCTGTCATGTGTCTTAAGATGAAGTTTATATCATAACTGAGGTTATGGAAATATATTAAACTCTTGTCAGGAAGTCTTTCCAAAAATTCTGTTGCACAGTTTTGACCCCAAATGCTTTCACTAACTGAACCATCTTCACTGTCATAACAGATGTTAAAAGCTTTATGAAAGCCATCCGTACTACACTCAAAGTCAGCAAAGAAAACGTGCTCAGGTATGAATTTACATTTAGCTTTATTTACTTCTTTTGACTCTGCTTTCTTCTTCAGTTGTACACAATACTTTGGAGCATATGTCAAATCTTTAAATGGTGCAAGGTTCTGTTTATATAAGTCAGTAGTATATGTGAAAAGTTCTCCATAAGAAATAGGTTCGAAATATTTGCACTCCCACAATGTTTTCATAACATCCCATAACGGTGTTGTTCTATCATAACGAACTACATATTTATCTTCTCTCTTTGTATAAATCTTCATCTGTTTCTCAATGTTCATTCCACCACAAGCTTTGAGAATTTCTTATAGTTTCGAATGAAGTATGTTGTCATTGGTAATCTTTCATTTAGCATGTAGTGGTCTTCAACAAGAAGTAAGTCAATAGTTCTAACAGTTTCGCATTCTTTTGGTATATATCTCTTTATTTCATTATGTCTTGAGTCATTGAAATAACCAATGGTAACATTAAATGCTATACCTGTTGCGTCAGAAATTTCTTGTACTTTACTTTGAGGAAAGTCTCTAACACGAATGACTTCTCTCATGTGGTCAATAGTTTCTTCATTTACTCCAGCCTGAATGCAAGCATAAACGAAACAATTGTCCTCTGTCATAAGTGTTGCAGTTCTTTTGTTCAGTTCATTGAAGATTTGGTAGCGTTCAAGATTTATAGGTAATGTGCAAAGATACTTCCAGAACTGACCGCTTCTCTTCTTATAAAACTTCTTTTCACCATTATCTTTCCAAAAGCTTTCTATAAGTGCTGGGTTTCCTGTTTGCTTAAGAGCTTCCAAAATGGCTTTCTGGTCATTTGTCAGTGTGCTTTCATCTCTATATGGTCTCTTTTTTGGTTTGCCTTTCTTTACATCTGACATCGTTAAGCCTTCATATTCTGTTAAATCATACATCTTTATTTCAGTAAGATTCTTTATGTTTGTCAAGAAGAAGTCATAGTGCATTTCAACAATACCTGCAGCATTTGCTTCTATCTCTGATATAAAGTTCTCCTTCAAGAGCTGATGTAGTAATGTTCCAATATTATTGAGGTTTAACGTAGAACATTCATACTTTCCACCAAGTTTATAACATACCATCCATCTCTGTTGCGAGTTTATTTTAATTTTCTCTAAGAGTCTCATGAAAACCTTACCGAAATGTTTGTGTAAGTAGTCTCTGTTTGGTTCATCTAAAGCTTCGATGTTAAAGTCAATGAGTCTATTGCCTGACTTCACATTTCTCTTCCTATTCTCTTCATCTTTCTTTAACCATCTCTCACCTTCTTTTGGTTTGTCGTCAATGGAACGAATGACATCGTTAGCTTTGCGAACTTGTTCTATAGCGCTCTTAAACATCTCTCTTCTCTGTTGTTTCAGTGTGTCGTCTCTTCTTCTTGTTTCACCAACGTTTGCATGGGCTACGCCCGCGCCGTCATGCGGCTTTGTTATGTCAAACATTTCTCTTCTTACTTCATGAGGTATTGAACGTCTATGATATAAGTCAATAGCAACGTCATTTAAAGGAAATGTTTTGTTATTAATGAACTCATGAATTCTATCATAACTTATTGCACCATTATAGTCTTTAATGAAGTCAGCGAGTGCTTTTTTGTTTGTTGCGTAATGCTTTGCAACATCTATATTAGCTTCTGTAAGAAGTTGTTTTATTTCCGAGTGTTCTAACTTAGACAACTTCCGATACATCTTTAGTAGGAAATAAAAAAAATATTTTTTGAAAAAATTAGATTAGATTTTTTTTAAGTTATTTTTCAAAATAATTTAATATTTTTATTTTAATGAAACACATGCAAGATTGCAAGTTCTTTTCATACAATGCTCTCGCTACTGCCATCAAGAATGAGTTCAATAATGCTTCAAACGTTAATGTTATCTTTAACAAGAAGTTTGTGAAAGAATCTAAGTTTGGTCAGTATGTCAGACCATTAGCTATCGTCATTGACCGCAAACGTTATACTTCACAAGAGTTAGCAGTAGTTTTGAAACAAAAGGGTTTCTTCGTGAATGTCAAAGATACACACTATACTGTCATAAAGAACTCCAACATTGACTTCTTCAGTATTGCTATGAATCTTTCCGAACAGAAAGAATATAAGAAGGGTGAAACATCTGTGAAATATTATCCTTCATCTCTGAAGACAATAACGAACAAAGATGTTATACAAAAGTTCTTACCAAAGGTTGAAGAAGCTTCAATTGACATTGACGAAGGAAGTGAAATGGTTGAAGAAATTGACCCTGAAGCTATTTAACCAAAAATATATTTTTGGTGAAGTGGTGAAATATCACCTAGCCGCTTTGCGGCTCTGACCCTTTGGGTCTGTTTTTTCACCTCATTCTCTCTTCGTTAATGTTGTCGTGACTTCTTCGTTAATGTTGTCGTGACTTCATTCTTCCTCTTTGAAGTTATCGAAATATTCTGTTATTTTTTCCTTCAGTAATGTTAAGTCTTCTTTGAATGTAAGTATTGTGCAACCTTTGATGTCATAGTGTGTTTGAGGAAGAGTATTTTTGACAATTTCTTTTATTTGCTCATTCGGTGTCATTGAAATCGGTAAGTTTTCACGATAGAACCAGTTTCTGTCAGATTTATATATTTTAGCAAGGTCGTAAAAGCTTTTGTTGTTTCTTCTGACTAAATGCAACATAACCATATCTTTATCTTCTTCATTCTCCAACTCTTCAGTATAAATCATATACTTATAACTCTTTTCCTTTCCTTTTGGTACTGAACGCGGTATTCTTTTCTGTATGCTTTTGTCTTTGGATTCAATGACTTCATCTTTTGCTTGAAGTTTCTTTTCCATCTCTCCACGTTCTTGTCTATGAATTTCGTCAAGAAGTTTACAAACATACCAAGCATAACGAGGCGAAGCCCACATTGCTACAACATTTACGAGAAGTCTATGAACATAATATCCTCTCAAACCGTTTGGCAATTTTTCACGGTTTTCATAGAGTTTTGGCGACTGGGGTTTTATACCCACTCGCTGTGCTTCGCTGTTTTCAGAAAAAAGTATGTCTCGCTGTGCTTCATTTAATAGTTCAATAGTGCTTTGGTTCCTAAACCAGTCTTTAGGAAGCTTAGTATCTGGAGCAAAACAAGCCGTCAAAATACTTTGCATTTGATACATATCATCTTTGACTGAACGAATGAGTCTCAATTGTTTGTTATATTGTATGTATTCGTATTCTTCATTTATGGCTTCATGAACGATAGCAGTTGTTGTGTTCTCTAATGTTGACATTACTGTTCTTACATACAGGATAAAAAATAAATAAAATAAAAACTAACTTTATTTTTTCTGAGATAAACACTATTTCTTCACAACATTAAATTTTATCCTGTATGAAATGACTTTAAAAAGATTATTGACTGACTTCGAATACTATCTCATTGACGCACTGACAGACCCTCAAAACTGTGTTGAAAGTTCTTTAAGCTTTAAGATTGAAGGTACGACGCATTTTGTCTTCACTTACGTATTGAAAGAATATGACCGTTATCATAACGAAGTGAATCAAACACTAATAAAATTTGTAGATAAAAAATTGGTTAACAATGAATATTTTAAACGTGAAGACCCAAACACTGCTGGAGATGATGAAGAATACAGACAAGCTATTGAAAAAAATAACGCAAGATTAGATGCAATAGAAAAGAAGTTTAATGAATGTCTTACAAACACGTATGAATATCTTATGCGGTGGGAAGCCAGATGGAAATAAATTTACGTCAAATATGCAATTTATAAAATCTTATGTCGACAGGCTACGTAGCACAGTGGTCTAAGGTGGTGTTATGGAGGGGTCAAGGTCTGTGGTTCGAACCGCGACAGCGCCGTATTTTCTTATTTTCTTTATTTGTCTTGTTTGTCGTGAATAAAAAGTATCATAAAAGTGCTCTATCTTCCACGGGAATAAATAAAAAATTTACTTTATTTCTTCTTTATTTCTTCTTTATTTCTTTGTTCCCGTGGAAGAAGGGTTTTGCTGTTTTTTCTCAGCCGAAATCAATGATTTTTTCATTTTTGGAATCCTTAGCGAATGAGGAATCTTTTCTCTCGTGGAAGCTTTGACCTAAAATATAATTTAGGTGAAGAGGTGAGATGTCACCTGTTTTCTCACCTCTTTTTTCACCCTCGTGACTTTGTCATAACTTCTTCGTAAATGCTTTGTCATAACTTCTTCGTAAATGAGTGTAAATGACCAAAAATATATTATAGGTGAAGAGGTGAGATGTCACCTCTTTTTTCACCTAATTTCTCACCCTCGCCGCTTAGCGGCTCAGACCCTTTGGGTCTCTTGAATTTTCATGAATTTCCTTAAGATAGAAAAATAACGTTAGTTTTATTTTTATTTATTTTTTTATTTTGTATGTAAAGATATGATTTCAACAATCGGCACAACAACAATTCAAGCCGCGAACGGCGGGACTCTGTCCACAACAACTTCACCAAACTCGTTAGTCATGAATCCAACATCTATGTTAGTAGAGATGAAAAGCTTCATTCCTTCTTCATATACTTTCGAAACAAAAATCCAGAAGATAAAGCAAGAACTTTTAACAAGTAATTTAGACTGTAGTGCGAAAGATGAAACAAATGAACAGTATCTTTATGAAATGCAGGACATTATTGACCA